AGTTTCACATTCTTTGAAAGTAAAACTATTTTCAATAAAAACTATTTTCTTATTTGGAAAGATGATTGAGAAAAAGATTATCGAGTTCTTTTCGGAACCCTATAATGAATACGACTCTCTGTCTAGGAAAGGCTGTCCTTGACGTTGTAGGTAACTTTCTTGGGAGATGCGGGCTCGACCATTTAATATCATGAATCGAGTACATCATTATTTTCGAAATCAAAATGAATTGAAATTATTTGATTTTGGAAACAACTTATGTGCATTAGTCTAAGTGTAAGTAGAGTCGTCTGGTTATTTGTGTGTTTATGGAATTTCAAATTCCATTGGTATTTATTTTGGATTTATCCTTGAGAAAATTTGAATTGTTTACTTAAATAGTTTATTTTATCACAAATGATGGAAACTGTTAGAAGGCACTTTTTTGATGAGAGGCTAGTCAAATCGGATGTTATACGTGTGCGTGACTTTAGAACAGATATTGTTTGGCATGCTATTAATATAAAAAGAAAAAGGAATATGAAATTTATGGGTGAAGAACCATGGATCATCCTTCTAGCCTTAGTCCACTTATCCAACACACCCAAATATGATTTATTACTCAAAAAGTAAAAGGATTTAATTACACCTAATTGTTTGTGGAATACAGAAGCCTATATGCATGAAGGAAAGTGGCTAGGAACCTTGACCAATTTTAAGGCAGACCTACATTTCACTGAAATTAATTGGTGCCTACCCCCGAGACCAGTAGTTGTTGAAATTCCTCTTCGACTTACACCTCGAGAAGTGCAAACCTTAAATAATCTAAACCATGATATGCCACCTTTACCACCTCCACATACTATATACTATAGTGCACTATAACATTATATACCATCTTGACTATACATCATCCGATGACTTAGAAATTCCTCATCCAAATGACTTTGAATCCCCACCTCATTCTCCCGAACCCCCTGTTCCAAGTGGCCAAGTATCTAACCCAAACTACAGCTCAAACCGTAACCTTAGCCCATATGTTAGCCCGAACTGTAACTCTAGTGTTATGGCTCGTGTTGTAGCCCAACTTATAGTGAGTACAATCCCACCTTTTTACTTGAACTTAACTAAAATCCAACCTACATGGCTAAACACATGGGAATTGGCTACGAAAGATGATCCAACAGGAAATAAGTCAAGTAACAACGAGTAGGACTTCAGAATTGCAATTGATTAGTTTTTTTCCATTAGTGGCAAGTTATTTTGTTTATTTTGTAAGCCAATTAGTGGCCCTTATGAATTTTTTAGTGACAAACATACATTATATGTTTTATTAAAGCCTATGTGGCTAAGTATGAAGTTGGTTAATTTATTAATAAAAATTCTATGAAGTTTTCTTTTATAATAAAATGTGTATTTGTTATTCAAAGTTATTCAGGATGTCTCTAAGAGCCGAAAATAATAGACGCACTAATTCTAGAATGAGTGCTACTCTTAGAAGCTAACTACCATTGCTGAAAACATGAACCAATTGGTGAATCAAGGGAACTGCAGCAACGAGTTAGACCATTTTTGGGAAGTTTTCAAGAGGGTGTTAGCTGCAAAGACACCCACTTATCTTGGAAAGGAGGATCCCGCAAGTCTGGAGAATTTGATAAGAGAATTTGACAAGTTATTTGATGCCATTAGCTGTCCCGAAGAATTGAAGGTTAACAATGTTGTATTACTTGAGAGAAGAAGCTAAACTATGGTGGAGTCAAAACCGGGAGAGGCTTTTAGGGACCCCGGATGGAAAGAACTGAAGAAGGCAATAAGAGACAAGTTTTACCCTGCCTACCTGAAGAAACAAAAATGCATGGAGTTTACAAACCTGAGGATGGGGAATATGACCATCAGTGAATATTATAAAAAATTCATTGAGTTGATGAGATTTGCACCGGAGGTAGTACCCACGGAGGAGTTGAAAGCCTAAAGGTTCGAGCAAGGTTTGACCCTAAGCCTTCAGGGGAAGTTAGGAAGGGTAACCTTTGAAACATTAGATGAAGTCTATAGGAGAGCTGCCCACCTTTATGGGATTCGGGGGAGAGAGTTAGAGAACTGAGCCGGAGAGAAAAGGAAGAGTGATGGGGGTTCGCAGGGAGTTACCAAGAGACCTAGGATTGGGGAGAGTTCTGGAGCAAATGGGCAATTCAACAGGAGGGACAATAAGGGGAACCTTGGGAAGGGAGCTAACGGACAGGAAAATAATAACTGTAAGAATGGAAATAACACTAGACCCAAGAGAAGTTATTTCTGTAAGAGATGTAAGAAAAACCACCTCGGGAAGGACTGTGAGGGAAACCCTATGACTTGTCGTTACTGTGAGAAACTTGGGCATCGAGAGTATGAGTGCTACACCAAAGAGGAGGATGTTAAGATAGGGAAAGTCCAGGAGACCAATAACCAACCCAAACCATCCCAGACCAATGGATCAGCTGAGGAAATGGAACCAGTAGCGGTGCAGGAACGACTTCTAAAGGTCGTCTGTTCGTGATGAATCGTTGTGAGGCCGAGGCTTCTAATGATGTGGTAATTGACACTTTCCTTGTTTGTTCTTTGAATTCTAGAGTCCTAGCTGTTTGATTCGGGTACGTCTCACTCTTTTGTTTCAAAATCTCTAGTCTAGAGATTAAAGTTAGTGAGTCCGGTGTTAGTGTCTCTAGATGTTTCTGTTCCAACTGGGGAGGTGAAGAATTGTTCCAAGTTATATAAAGGGGTACCTATGAGTAGAGTTTCCTTTAGACTTGATTGAGTTCGAGTTGCAGGACTTAGATGTGATTTTAGGGATTTACTGGTTGGGAAAGTATAAGGCTTGCATCGATTGTGCTCCTCAGAAAGTGAAATTGGTAAGTCTGGGTAAAGTGATAATGACCTATAGGAAGGAAAGGAAGAGTTCAGGGATCAGGATCAAAATCATTTCTGCCTTGCAATTTCGGAATTGTGTCAAGAAGAGTTATCCTATTTACATGTGTAATGTTCAGAAGTGGGAAAGGAAGATGGGAAGAATGAGAGTATTCCAGTAGTTGAGGAATTCCCAAATGTCTTACTTGATAAGATACCAGGTATGCCACTAGTGAGGGATGTTGGAGTTCACCATTGACTTGGTACCGGGGACTGGACCAATTTCGAAAGCTCCATATAAGATGGCTCCAGCCGAGATGAAGAAATTGGAAACTCAGTTAGATGACTTGTTGGACAAGGGATATATTCGACCTAGTTCTTCTCCATGGGGTGCTCTAGTGTTGTTTGTGAAAAAGAAGGATGGAAGTTTAGGTTGTGCATAGACTATCGGTAGTTGAATAACGTGACAGTCAAGAATAAGTATCCTTTGCCTAGAATTGATGATTTCTTTGATTAGTTAAAAGGGGCTGGTATATTTTCCAAGATAGATTTGAGGTCAGAATTGCAGAGCAAGACATTCCCAAGAGTGCTTTCATGACGTGTTATGGTCGTTATGAGTTCACAGTTATGCCATTTGGGTCAACTAATGCACCTGCAATGTTAATGGATTGATGAACCAAATCTTTGGGCCATATATGGATAATTTTGCGGTGGTTTTCATTGATGATATTTTAATCTACTCCAAGAATAGGGAGGAGCATGAGGACCATTTGAGGAAAGTATTGTTGACCTTGGGGGAACACCAGTTGTATGCTAAGCTATCGAAGTGTGAGTTTCGATTGGAAAAGGTAGCCTTTTGGGTCATATGATTTCTAAGGAGGGAGTTTCAGTAGATCCCGCTAAGGTCAATGTAGTGAGTGAATGGCCGACACCCAAGAGTGTGTCAGATGTTCGAAGCTTCTTGGGATTGGCAGGCTATTATCGGAGATTTGTGAAGGATTTTTCGAGGATTTTGAGGCCCATGACAAATTTGATGAAGAAGGAATGTAAGTTTGTTTGGACCCAAGAGTGTGAATAGGCGTTCCAAACCTTGAAAGACAAGTTAACCTCGGCACCAGTGTTTTTGCCAGATGAAATTGGGCAATACGAGGTGTATAGTGATGCATCAAAGTTCAGGTTAGGTTGTATTTTAATGCAGAATCGGAGGGTCATTGCATATGCTTCGAGGCAGTTGAACCGCATGAGGTGAACTATCCAACCCATGACTTGGAGTTAGCTACGGTTGTATTTACTTTGAAAATTTAAAGACATAATCTATATGGGGTAACTTGTAAAATCTTCACAGATCACCAGAGTCTAAAATACATTTTCACTCAGAAGTATTTAAACTTGAGGCAGAGACGATGGTTAGAGTTTATAACGAATTATGATGTGAGTATCCAATATTATGAGGGGAAAGCCAATGTGGTAGTTGATGCTTTAAGTAGGAAAACCAGTCATTCGATGAATATGATGATTTTGCCGAACTAGCTGTGTGTGGAATTTCAGAAGATGAATTTGGAAGTGAAGGAGCATGGAGAGGTTAGTAAGATGTTGAATGCCTTGGTAGTGCAACCTTCTATTTATGATGAGATTATGGAAAGTCAGTTGGGAAACTCGAAGTTGAAGGCAATAAAAGAGAATATTGAGGAAGGCAGGTTTTGGACTTTACTATTGCAGATGAAGGAAGTATTCGATTCGAAGGGAAATGGTGTGTTCCACAACATCTTGGGGACATACATCAAACAGAGACTGATGGAGGAGGCCCATAGTTCTCCTTATTCTTGGAGGGGATAAGTTGTATAAGGATATGAAGAAGGTCTTTTGGTGGCCAAACATGAAGAGAGAAGTAGCAGAGTTTTTGGCACAATGCTTAAATTGTCAAAACGTGAAGATAGAGCATCGAAGGCCACAAGGAATAGGTACCAAAGTGGAAGTGGGATTCGATCTATATAGATTTCGTGAGGGCATTACCACAGGGAACGACATTATTTAGGTCATTGTGGATCAATTGAATAAGTCTGCAACCTTTATACCTATGAAAAGCACTTGGTCTATGGATCAGTTGGGAAGGGCATATGTGAAGTTTGTGGTGAAGTACCATGGAGTGCCTACAGATATCATTTCAGATCGTGATTCGAGGTTCCTATCCAACTTATGGCAAAGTTATGAGAACTAAGTTATTGATGAGTACAACTTTTCACCCAACTTTTCACCCTGCAACTAATAGTCAGAATGAAAGGACCATACAGACCTTGGAGGACATGTTGAGAGCATGTGTATTGGAGTATCAAGGTTCATGGGAAGATCACTTAGACTTAATTGAGTTTTCATATAATGATAGTCATCACGTAAGCATTGGAATGGCCCCATTTGAGGCCCCGTATGGAAGGAAATGTAAGAGCCCAGTTTGTTGAAGTGACATAAGTGAAACTGTTGTACTTGGGCCTGAAATGATCGAGGAAACTGTTAAGCAAGTGAAGTTGATCCAGGAGAAAATCAAAGCAGCCAAGATAGACTGAAAAGTAATGCTGATGAGAAGCGCAGAGATGTAGAGTTCCAAGTAGGAGAGAGGGTGTTGCTGAAAATATCTCCTATAAAGGGGGTAATGAGATTTGGTAATAGGGGGAAGTTGAGCCTAAAGTACATTGGGCCATTATGAGATTCTTCAGATGGGAAAGTGGCATATAAGTTGGACTTACCCAACGAGTTGGAAAGGGTACACATGTGTTTCATGTGAGTCAGATTCGCAAGTATGTTCCTGATGTTGCATATGTGCTAGAACCGGAGGCAATTGAGCTAGATGAGAGTTTAACCTATGAAGAAAGACCGAGGAGAATTTTAGATAGTAAAGTAAGAAACACCAGAAACAAGGATGTGAAGATAATCAAGGTTTTATGGTCAAACCATGAGGTTGAGGAAGCAACTTGGGAGGCTGAGGCAGAAAAGCGTAAAAAGTACCTTAATCTTTTCATGGTGAGTGGTTAAGTTACGGGGACGTAACTTCCTTTTTAAGGGGGGTAAAATGCCATAGAGTTTCGCGCTTTTCTGTTTATGTCTTTAAGTGAGTCTTTTGAGTTGAGTCCTTAGGTTGTGCATGAACTTACTAAATTTTAATTAATTCATGATAATTTAGAGTATTAATTGGAGCTATTCAATGTCCCGAAGTTTCGGGACGAAACTTCTTTTAAGGGGAGTAGACTGTAATACCCTAAATTTTGAAAAATAATTTCTTAATTATTTCTTCAATTATTTGAATTTGGAGCTAAAATAAATTTAAATTTTGGCGCCAAAATATAAGTATTTAAATTATTTGAAAAATTAATTATTTTTGGACTTCAAAATTAATAATATTTAATTATCTTGGTTTAATTATAACTATTTTAATATTCTATCTTATAATTTACAACTAATTTTGGTTTTAATATTATCTTAAATATATTATATATTTGTAATTTTAATGATAAACTTGGATAAGTATCAAAAATTAATTATTTTCTTAAATCAAATTATAATTTTCATATTAATTAAAAAATAAAATTCAGGTTTTATAAAAATTAGTTTCCTACTTTATAAAAATCAATAGCTGGCCGAAAAACTTGGAAAAAAAATTATTATTATTATTTTGTGATTTTTATCTTATTTTTAACTTAACCAGTAAACTTTCTTCAATATCTTATTCTTATTCCTATCTTCTTCCTTCCAATCCTCTAATCAAATGAACTTCTATCCAATTTTTCTACTCATCTTTTATACCCAACTATTAACCTAGACTTAATTTGATTCAAGTAAAATAACAAACCCCAAAACTTATCATATTTTCTAGTAATCATATCATACCTTAAGCTCTATCCTTCTACACTCTAAATACTATAATTAGACCCTTAATCCCTCTCATTTACTCACATCAAAAATAAGATTATCTCCTTCCTCTACTACCTAAACTCACGTTCTCCCTCTCATTTACTCACATCAAAAATCAGATTATCTCCTCCCTCTACTACCTAAACTCACGTTCTCCTTCTTCCTCTCTATCTTTCAAGAATTCCTTCATTCTTTTTGCTCAAACAAACACCACAACCCTTTACTAACTTCGGACCTGCTGTACCGCCACCATTGCCACCGCATGCATGCATGTTTATATTGTAAAAAAAAAAAAATCTCTTTTTTCTTCTATTATTATTATGATTACTATTATATTATTTTGATACCAAAAATATTAAATGCTACTTAATTTAAACACAATAATATAAATTTTGATACTAATAATAATAGTATGCTACGTACTAACATAGATTGTTGAAAGTTTTAAATTCTAAAAGTTAATATTTTGGTAGTTCATGCACAAGTAGAGTAAAATTTATAGTTTTGTGTTTATTTTTGTTAACCTTATACTTCCTCCATTTTTTTTTAGTTGACACATTTCTTTAGTCATGTTTGTCAATGCACAACTTCAACCATTTATATCTTTAATTACCGATAAGAAAATATTATGAATTTGATATTTTAAAAATATATATCATGACGAATCTAACAAGATGCTACATGACTATATTTTTCATTACGTATAAAGCACAAAATACGGTCAAAGGGGAGTGAGTGAGTAGTGCTAAAGTCAAAATGTGTCAACTAAAAAAAACGGAAGTAGTATTAATTAAGGTTATTTTAATTGTGGACAAGTTTAGTAGTTGTACCTTATTTTTTCTCATGACCAAGGTACATATAGGTGGCGATGTTAGACATGAAATCGCTCAGTATCATAAAAGAAGTCCAAAGATTGACCGGCTGCTTAGCCGCACTCGAACGATTTCTGTCAAGGTTAGGGATAAGTGCTGCTATTTTTTCCAGACTATCAAGAAGAAAGCAATGTTCGAGTAGACAGAGGAGGCCGAGGAAGCCTTCGTACAGTTGAAAAATCATTTGTATACCCTTCCTGGCTCGTCAATCCACTTTAATATGAGAAGTTGTATATGTATTTGGCTATTTCAGATCATTCCTTGAGCGTCGTCCTGCTTGCTGAAAGGGACTGCCATCAGATCCCTGTGTATTTCATTAGCCATGTTCTGCACAATGCCGAGCTTAGGTATCCACCCATTGAAACGTTCATCTTGGCATTATTCATGGAATCTAAAAAGCTAAGGCCATACTTTCTTGCCCATTCGATTGTGGTCTACACGGGACCAACAATTGAAGAAGTCGTTCACAATTTTGGAGGCCAGTGGCCGAATGCTTAAATGGGCCTTAGAGTTGAGAGAATTTGATATCACATTCGAACTCAAAAAAGCAATCTAGGGCCAAGCCTTTGCAGATTTCATGACTGAAATGACACGGTTGGACCTACAGCCGGCAGGGGATCAGATTTGGAAAGTTTTTGTGGATGGAAGTGCAATGGCGACCGGATGCGGCGGCGATATCATATGTTTATCTCCAGAAGGAGACAAGTTTGAGTATGCTTTGAGATTTCAATTTTAAGCCTCCAACAACGAGGCCGAGTATAAAGCCCTTCTAGCCGGCCTTAGAATGTGTAAGGCGGCCGGGGCAACAAAAATTAATGCCTGTTCGGACTCTCAGCTGATAGTCAACCGAGTGAATGGTGACTAAAAGGCTAGGGAGCCGACAATGATGAAGTATTTACAAATGGTGAAGGTTGAGGCCGAGAGCCTAGAGCATTTCACGCTACAACAAGTCCCTCGGTTTGAAGATCATCAGGCGGACGCCCTCTCCAAACTAGCCTCCTCGACATCATGTGATACTCCAAGATCTGTGTTCTAGGAAGTTAAGGAAAAACGGAGCATTGATGTCGAGCCCGTGCAAATCATTGACAGAAGCTCCACATGGATGGAGGGAATAATCTCCTATCTCAAAGATGAGTTCTTCCGGACGACCCAAAAGAGAGCTGGCTGATGAAGAAAAAGGCGGCATGATTTGAGATGAAGGGGGAGGACTTGTTCAAAAGATCATTTGTAAAACCATATTTGAAGTATGTTACGCCCGAGAGGGGGCATGAGGTGCTGGATGACCTCCACCAAGGGCATTGCGGATCACTTAGGCGGACAAGCCTTAGCTAAGAAAGTTACCCATCTGGGGTACTACTGGCCAAGCATGAATTCAGACGCCAGGGAAATGGTGAAAAAATGTGATAAGTGCCAAAGATTTGCAACCCTTATTCATTGCCCAGCAAAAAACTTGTCGGTCATAAGTTGTCCACTCTCTTTTGCAAAATGGGGCATGGACATCTTGGGGTCGTATACTCCTGCATCAAGGTAGAGGCGGTACGTGTTAGTAGCAGTTGTATACTTCACAAAGTGGGTGGAAGCCGAGGCCGTCCGAGGAATCAAATGGAAAGATGTATCTGCCTTCATCTGGAAGAACATAATCACACGTTTTGGTGTGCCGCAATCAATGGTGTTCGAAGATGGACCACAGTTTGAGACCAATCATCTCTGGGATTGGCTAAGTGACAGAGCATAGCACACTGCTTTGCCTTCGTCGGATGCCCAAAGGCTAATGGTCAGGTTAAAGCGTACAACAAATTGATCTCCAATGGCATCAAGCGAAAGCTTGAGAAAGCGGGCGACCTAAGCTTGAGTTAGTTAATGTGCTATGGTCCATTCGAACGACGGCAAAGAGTTCAACAGGGGAGACCCCATCTTTTCTGGTCTATAGTGCTGAGGCCGTGCTCCCAATTGAAATGTATGAACCCACCCTACGAGTGATGCTATACGATGAATCGGTCAATTGGGAGGCCATGAAGACTGCACTAGACTTCCTTCCAGAAGCTAGGGGCAATGCGGCGCTTAGACACGAAATATATCGTTTAAGGATGACAAGGGCATATAATCGCAAAGTGTCAAAGCGGCCGCTTAAGATTGGAGACTTAGTTCTAAGAAAAATGGAAGCGGTAGGCCGAGCAAAAGAGGATGACAAGCTAACCCCAAACTGGGAAGGGTCCTACAAGATTAAGGAAGAAGTACGAGATGGTACCTATTGTCTTGAAGCCTTAGATGGTCGTCTTATTCCCCGTACGTGGAATACGGACAATCTGAAAAATATTATGTATAAACTTTTTTGTACTTAGCCAAAAGTTGTATATACAACTTGTAATACCCGAATATTTTAACATTTTATCAAATATATTTTATGGCTAAAATATGATATTTTAAATTATTTTATAAATTCGACCTTATACTCTATTTTTGTTATCCTATAAAAATTATCTTTAATCCACTAAATATATTTTATTGTAAAACCTTAAATATACATATATATCAGCCGTCACTTTTATTTATCCTTTTATTTCTTTTATTAACTTTATTTGCATATATTGTGGTTTGGCCGTGAGTTTTTGCCTATTATCAAAATCATGCAAATCTTGAGTAATTGTATTCAATAATTGAAGTCAACCCTTTCAATTCGTGATCATCAGAGCATGCAAGTAGCAAAATTTATACTCATGATTCCATTATTATCATGATGCAAGTCAATTACTAGGCATTGGCGTTTTATTTTTGTCGAGGCTGTAGTATGTGCGATTAATTAGCCGGAAAGGTAATCACACGAATTTATTAATCTTGGAGTTGTATATTTATAATTTATTGTTTCGTAATCACACTAATTTAATTTTTTTTTTGAGTTGTATGTTTATAATCTATTATCAAGTAATCACACTATCAATCTTTTGGTATTGTTTGATTATAATTTGATTGTATTATTTATTTTATGTAATCACACCAATCTTAATATTTGAAATTGTTTAATTATAACTTATTGTTTGTATTGATTGTACAACGTATTATTGTGTGTCAACTATGTGCTTACGTAATTATATGTGATGGATGTGTTACCGTATGATATTATGGAATCATATTATATACTAGTTTTCTATAATTGTGTACTAGTATAGTATTTTTGAAAATTTGATTATTGGTATCGTATGAGTTTTTTTTTTATATAAAATTACAATCTTGGGAATTTGGATGATTGATTAT